AACATGATTTTGTATTAACAAAACTGAAAGCTTTTAAACTCTCACCAGCTGAGCTACGAAAAAGGCAGCAACCAACCATAAGCCAGGACGTTCGACATATGACCAGCTACGTGACCTTGTGACAAATATAAGCGCTTGGCTAATGATACTAACTTGTAGGTAAATCGCTGCGGTAAGCTCGTGAGGATTGCCACTGATAGGTCTCACTCCAAACTTTTCCTGCACCAAGAACAAAACTTAGGATCAAAGACACTTACTTTGGTCTGGTGAATTGAGTCCTCATAGTAAAGGTAGAGTTCTCTTACCGAGAAGAAGTCGGTACTCTCTGCAGCCCAAAAGAAAACTACAGTCATGACTGCTAAGTAAGTACCAAGAACAACACCAGTGGCAAATATCTCTTTGAGTTTCCATGAATCAGGAAGTGGAGAAGGCTTTACTCTATCCTTCGATATAGTCATGATCGTACCATCGTTCAAGATAGCGATAACCAAGACCATGAATGGCGAGAAGTCGAACTTCCATATGAGTGCAAGAAGCATAAATCCCATAACTACACGGATTGTAATGGAAACTGCATAGATTGTGTAGTTTTTCATTCTTTGGAAGATAGCTCTGCTCGTTAAGACAGCACTGACAATGACACTAAGCCCTGGTTCGGTTAGTACAATGTCAGATGCACTTCTCGCTGCATCGGTCGCATCAGCAACAGCTATTCCAATGTCAGCTCTCTTAAGAGCCGGTGCATCGTTTACACCATCACCGGTCATGCCACAAATGTGCTTCATCTCTTGGAGCCGCTTGACAATCTCATACTTGTGTTCTAATCAGACAGATGAAAAAGTGAAAACATGATTCCATTAAGTGAAAATGTTTTACATTAGATTTGTTTTTTTTTACCAGGGAAGACACCAGCGAATCCATCAGCCATCTCGATGAGTTCATCAACTGGAAGGCTAGCTAGAGATTCATCTTTGTCCTGTCCAAGTAGAGCAGAAGAAGGATACATGTTGGTTCCCATACCGAGTCTACGACCAGTTTCTTTACCGATAGCGAGTTGGTCACCAGTGATCATCTTGACATTAACACCAAGGTCAAGGGCACGTCTGATTGTCTCTGCACTGTCATGTCTTGGTGGATCAAAGAGAGGTAACAAACCAAGAAACTGCCATGGCTCTCCGGGGCTGTTCTTGTCTTTCGCGGAGACGGTCTAAAACGTCAAAACAGAGTAAACAGAGGATTTTTAAGTGAAAGAACACACATCTTGTCTCACTCAAAGCTTTTTTTTTTATATACCTGTCTACCAACAGCAAGAGAACGAAGTCCTCGGTCCGCAAACTTGTCAATGATGTCATGAGCTCTCTTCTTTGCATCTTCCCTAAAATTACAAAGCTCAATGATCTACAAATAAAAGAGACCAATCAGTGAAAAGGAACTTAAAAAAGCTTTCTAGAGACTAAGGAAATGAAGATTTACTTGCTCGGGCGCGCCTTTGCTGACTCGGTGCCAGTTTCCATTAGAATCAATGTAAGTGATAGCAGTACGTTTATCGACAGGGTTAAAAGGAAAGAAATGGACTTCAGTGATGCCTTCTCTTGCTTCTCTAGGATCTCCAAGCATTCCTACAATACAAGCATCAATAGCATCTTGGTTTTCAACTCTAGAGGCTCTTGCTGCATTCACAAGCAACTGGTCTTTGTCCAAATCTTTGACAAAAACCTCAACCATGCTCTTGTCAACAGTAAGCTTGTTGAGTGTAAGTGTTCCAGTCTTGTCACTACACAAAACATCCATTCCAGCCATTTCTTCAATCGCGGTCATTCTCTTTGTGATAGCTCCTTGTTGCGAAAGACGGTGAGATCCAATAGCCATTGTGACAGACAAAACAGTAGGCATTGCAATAGGGATTCCTCCAATGAGAAGCACTAGAAGATTGTCTATCCCATCTCTATACGCACGGTGTTGAATAGGATACATCACAACGATCTCAATGATCATACCTATACCGATCGAGCAAATGCAAAAGTTTCCAATAGCGGTTAACACTTTTTGGAAATGTCCTTCTTGGTTTGTACTGTCTACAAGATGAGCAGCTTTGCCAAAGAAAGTATGAACACCCGTAGCGATAACAACAGCTTCTATCTCTCCTTGTTTGCAAGTGGAACCCGAGTAAACTTCTTGTCCCGGGTTCTTGGTAACTGGTAAAGATTCACCAGTAAGAGCAGATTGATCAACCTTGAGAGGATCACCGTCCAAGAGACGACCATCGGCCGGAATAATGTCACCTAATTTGATGCTGATAATATCTCCAGGAACCAATAGAGCTGCCTCTTGCTCACTCCATTTCCCATCTCTCAGAAGCTTTGTTTTGGGAGCTAGACCGGCCATTAAAGCGGCAGCTGCATTTCCGGCGTTGTTTTCTTCGATGAAGCTTATCGTAGAGTTAATGATTAGAAGAACCGTAATACCCACGAAATCTTGCCAATCCGGTGGCCTTCCCTGCAAATTTTACAAGGTGTTTTTAGGGTTTGTACAAAGAAGCAAGTGAAAAAGAGAAAGTTAGTGAAAGTGATTGTTTGTTTACTCCTCCATTGGCCAATGCAATAGCCATTATAGCAGCCAACTCCATGACCCATGAGAGAGGATTCCACATAAACCCTAAGAACTTCAAAACCTTGCTTTCCTGTGTAAAGTAATAGAAACTAGGTTACACTGGTGTTTTCTTGTGAGTGAAGAAACAGAACAAAATGAAATAAGGTCTTATGCCTTTTTCTCTTCGAGCTTGTTAGGACCGAAGATCTCGAGACGAGTATGGCCTTCTTCGCTCGTTAGTCCTTCTCTTGTACATCTCAGCTGCGTAAGCACCTCCTCGATCGGGATTTTCTCCTGTTTAAAACCGAATCAAACCCGAAATCAGCGTTTCAAAATGTTATGCATTAGGCACCATGAAGAAGAGAGA